TCGTGGGTCCCGCAGACACATCCAGTGTTCCAGCTCCGGCCCAGTCAGCTCTATTTGGTCCACTTCTCGCCGCCCTCGCAGAATCTCTGGCCGTACCGTCAACCACCGTGCATTAGCCGGCCTGGCTAGGTCGGCTAACGCTATCTGTGACAAGCCCAACACCTGCGCTGTCAATTTCGGCCTGCTCAACATCCGCTCACTCTCCAGCAAAGGACACCTCATCCAGGACCTCATCACTGACAGTAAGCTTGACTTTCTTTGTCTCACTGAAACCTGGCAACAACCCGGCGACTTCTCACAGCTCAATGATTGCACTCCACATGGATTTGTTTACATCTGTCAACCCCGGATCTCCGGACATGGCGGCGGTCTCGCGATAATTCACCGCGAGACTTGGAAAATCCAGCCCATCTCCGTGCCTTCCTTCAGCTCTCTGGAATGTACTGTCTGTAAACTATCTGGTCCCACCCCCACCATCATTGCTGCTGTCTATCGCCCTCCCAAGCCACACAAAGATTTTTTTAATGATTTTGCTTCTCTCCTCACTCTCCTCTCCCCCCTCTCTCCTAACATTATTTTGTTGGGGGACTTCAATATCCACATGGACAATCTCAATCTACCTCTGACCCGTGACTTCTTGTCATGCCTCGACAGTTTTGGTTTCCAGCAATTCATCGATTTCCCCACCCACATTAAAGGCCACACACTGGACATACTCTGCTGCTCCGGTCTCTCCCCTTCCAACTGTTCAGCTGATGACCTCCAATTATCCGACCACTTCCTCGTCACCTTCAATGTCACCCTCCACCTCTCCATCATCAAGACCCCTCGCCTCATCTCTTTCCAGAACATCAAGGACATTAACATTGACACACTGTCTGCTTCTATTGACAATATCCTGATTCCTGACCATCACCCCTCCCCCGATGAACTAGCCACTCTTTACAATAATGTTCTTTCTAACATCTTGAACTGTATTGCTCCTGTTAAAACCCGGTCTGTCACTTTCTCACAAACTGCCCCCTGGTATACTCCTGAACTCCGGTCCATTAAAGCCAAAGGTCGCCAGCTAGAGCGTCTCTTCAAGAAAACTGGTCTCACTGTCCACAAAGAAATGCATAAAGACCACATACTTCACTACAAAAACTCCATCACCCAAACTAAATCTGTCTTCTACTCCACCCTAATCCAAACCAATGAAGATAACCCCAGAACTCTATTCACCGTGCTCAACAAACTCCTCAAACCACCTGACTCTCTCCCCATACACCTGTACTCACCTGAAACATGCAACTCAATAATGCACTTCTTCAATAAAAAAATACATAAAATCCACAAACACCTCACCCCACCCCCACCCCCACCCCCTCCTCTCTCTCCTCCCCTGAAACCTTCCATCTGCAACAGCCGTTTTCCAGTTTCCAGCTCCCAGCAGCCTCTGAAATCTCTGACATCATCCGCAACTCTAAGCCCTCCACCTGTCAGCTCGACCCCCTACCCACAACCCTTGTCAAATCTTGCCTCCCCTCTCTCCTCCCCATCATTTCCGCTGGGGGCCACTGTCACCTCTGCAATCTCATTGAAGTTTTAAAGTAGCTGCTATCACCCCCACAGTTAAAAAACACGGTTCTGATCCCACCAACTTCAACAACCTCCGCCCCATCTCCAACCTCCCCTTCATCTCAAAAATCTTAGAAAAAACTGTAGCCTCTCAACTCCACTCCCATCTCTCTCTCAACTCTCTCTATGAACAATTTCAGTCTGGTTTCCGCCCCCGTCATAGCACAGAAACTGCTCTAATAAAAATCACTAATGACCTCCTAATGGCAGCTGACTCAGGTCTTCTCTCCATCCTCATCCTCCTCGATCTCAGTGCAGCCTTCGACACCATCTCTCACTCCATCCTCCTCCATAGACTTTCCTCCATCGGCATCACTGACATGCCCCTCAACTGGTTTCACTCCTATCTCTCTGGCCGCACTCAGTTCATCTACCTCAAGCCCTTCAAATCCCTACCCTCCCCTGTTACCTCAGGTGTGCCCCAGGGCTCTGTGCTGGGGCCCCTTCTTTTCATTATCTACCTCCTTCCCCTTGGCAATATCTTCCGCAAATTCAACATTCATTTTCACTGCTATGCAGATGACACCCAGCTCTACCTATCTGGCAAACCCTCTATCTCTCTTCCAACCCCCTCCCTCACTGACTGCCTAAATGAAATCAAAACCTGGTTCACCTCCAATTTCTTAAAACTCAACAGTGATAAAACTGAAGTCCTCCTTGTAGGCCCTGCTGCTTCCTCCGCAGGTACTCCTGCTTTATCAGCTCCCTCCGTGTCTTTTCGTCCTCTTTCCGCTGCCGCTCCTCCTCAGCCTTCCGTCTGTCAGTGACACTCCCTAGTTTTAAACCACTCAATCCTGTGTAAAACCTTCACATTAGTCGTGTGTGTGAACTGCTTTACCGTGCTTCATCTCGTTTCAGCTCAGATTCTGCTTTTAGTTGTTGTTTACGGAGCCGAGCCTCTTCGGCTTTCTTCTGCTGCTTCTGCAGGAACGCTGCTCTCTTCTTCACCAGCTCGTCTTCGGCCTTTTGCTCATCCTTCATCACGGTAAACAGAAGAATGGATTATCAGCACTACTTCAACTTCCATTTGGGTTGTATTCAGAACAGTGGTTACCTAAGTGGGGGGTTGGGCCCCTCATAGGGGTTGCAGTGCTAAAGCAGGGGCAGCATACCAATTGAAATTAATTACAATTTTAATACTTCATTTACTTTTGCTACATGGGGGAAAATACTGTGAGAAAAGCCATATCTGAAATAATGATTTAAAAACTGTTGAATCATGGGAGAGTCTCACCTTGATGAAAAAGCCCAGGACTGACTTCTGCTCTCCGTCACCTCCCTCTGTTGCTGCGTACTCAGTCATGCCCTCGTCCTCAGGAGCCTTTAGGTCGGAAAGATCGACCTCGATCAGGTGGGCTTTGCTGCGCTGGGCCTCCTCTGAGGGATTATTTTCTTTCCCTGAAACGTTGTAAGAATTGGGGACCGACTCTTTCATGGTGCTCGACAGGCAGTCGTCGAATGAAACTTCGGGGGTCACCAACGGCGCCAGGTCCACTCTGGTCGGCAGACGCACGTTAGCTTCATTCTGAAGGCGGAAGGTAGCGCTCCGATAGTGGCCTGAGCCTGGTTTACCGACAGCGTTTTCTATGGTGGGGTTCCTGGGGCTCTCTGGCTGCTCAAATCTGGGGGACCTGCCCCCAGCTAAATGCCTCTGATGTAGCGCAGACTCAGGTCCGCTCTGGTTGGGGGTTAGTATCCTGGAAGCGTGTCGGCTTTGTCCTTTAGCTATTTTCAACTCTGATGGTTTGGACCTGGTGCTTCGGCCTGAGGTCAGCTTGGGGGGTTTCTTGATCGGGGCTGTGTCAGTGCCACTCAAGTGCTCTACATAATGAAAGCTCCCGCCTGACTTTGAGTCACAATTCTTGTCACCAGTGCGAGGAGATGTTGTTGCCCCGGACGGAGACTGAACATTCTGTTTAATCAACAAATCCTGCTGCAGCGACAGCTGCATCATCTGCTGCTGAATGCTGCTGATGGCGTTGTTCAGTAGCAACTCCTCCTCCAAATAAAAACTACCACCGTTTCCTTTTTTCTCTGCTTCTAAGGCAGACAGTGCGGACTCCACCACCACTTCTTTGTCCGCCTTTATGGCATCAACACATATATCATCTTTGCTAAGTTTTTCTCCGTTCAGCTTTTCTTTAGGGGGGTCAGCTTTAATTGGGTTGGGTAGTGTATCACTCCTGCCTCCACCTTTCTTTACAATGTGCAGAAAAGCTGCCTTTCCCAGCATCTGCCTCTGCCTGGCTGACAGGACTTCCATCTTTTTCTTATGATGCTCGATGGCTTGTCGTTTCTCCTCCAGCTGCATACGTAACTGGACCAGTTCAGATGCCAGCACATTGGAACTGTCTCCTGACCGAGCAGGAGAAGAAGGACTCTGGTCCCTTCTCAGCCTCCAGGAAGAGCTGAGTGGCCCGCTGCTCTCCGATCCATCTGGTCCGATCCACAGGGTGTTTTTTTCCATTCAGAGAATTAATTCAGTGTATAATTCGAGAGAATGCTTCGTTTTCTCCTCTGAAGATTGGGGGGAAAAAAATAAAAATAAAAAATTCAGACGGAGCTCCAGTGTCATCCAGGGACAATGTGAATGTTAAGGGTAAAACAATAAAACCCAAAGAAACAAATTGACTTTTACAACAAAAGGAAAAAAAACAAGAAAAAATAAATAAATAAAAGAAGGAAAAAAAGTAAAATAAAAAATAAAATATTTTCCTTTTAAAAGGAAAAAATACGGAAAATAAAATGTGACTTTAATTCATTTGAAAATTTATTGTTTCAGTGCTTCCATTTGAAAATAAATAGATGACATGGGATTGAAGATAAAACCAACAAAGATGAAAAAAAAGACCAGTGTAACAAAAAAAAAAGACAAAATGCCAATACAATCTTTCAGTTAACATCAAAATAGACTCACATACCATTAAAGTGTGGACCACCTCCCCCACACAGATCCCCACCAGGACACGGCAGAAATAGAGTACAGTACTAGCATGTTCTCAGTAGTAACACATCAGCAGAAACTTTTTTTTCATGTCAGTATTTTCTGTTAGTGTATGCTCTAGTGTCCACACTTTTCTGATCACTCTACAGCAGTTTGATTTAAAGGGACAGTCAGGTGTGCCACTGTCTTTTTTTTAAATGCATCATTAAAGTTGTGTGTTGAACTTGAACGTCACTCATTCTTCAACAGTGAACTTTAATTTATTAATGAATCATGCATAATTATACACAGTTATTACTGGTCTCATTATCAACTTAATAATTGACATGAGGTACGTGATAATTGACAAAAAATATAGTGTTCCACTGATTAAATAAAAAACTGAAACGGCAACTGAGAATGACAGCCCCCTGCTGGTTCCCCGCTAGTTTTGGGCCCTTAGCACAAGACAGTTTTGTAGATAATTTCTACAAACAACTAAAACTATGCAGCTTTTATCAAGAGTTAATTTGCATCTGTAGTAAAAATAGGGTTCTGGTGCAGAAGAATGAGCACGTTGTTGGTGGCTGGTCGGATTGTTATTTTTAAAATCAAGGCTTCTGGTCATTTGGGAAACAGATTCTGTTTTTGTTTTTTTGTTATTTTTTTTGGCTGCACCATCACACAGACTGATACAGAAGACCCTGTGATCAGAAACGTCCTAAACTATGCCCACTGTACGAATCACGACTCAAGTGCTTGTGCAACACTCGTGGTTGTTCTTTGAGCCAACAGAGAGTCTGTGAAATAAAAGCACTTTACAGGAGAGAGAGAAAGCCCAAGACAGGAGAGAGGGGGGAGGAGGAAGAGAGAGAGGAGACCATGTGGCATCACCATGATGGAATGTTATTTAACGTCAGTACATACTGTAAGTGAACCACAGGCCCGCCCTCCCCCCATCAGACTGTGGGAAAGGATGAGTACAGAACACAATACTGTCAATCACTTTCAGCAGGGACAGCAGCACAAAACACACACACACCCTGAAATAATGTGTGAGCAAGCTGCTGTAAAACAGGAGGATGTGGGGGAAGTGGGTGAGTGCACCTTTATACAGGACGATTCAGGATTGTCCTGTGGAGATGGAGAGAGTTTAAAGAAAATGTCCTAGACATCAGACAATCCCTTTTTCTGATGAACAGACAAAACATCTGCTGACATTCTAAATCACATGACCACTTTAGGCATCTTTTTTTAAAAAAAAAAAAAAAGAGAGGCACACCAAAAAAAAGAGGGAAAACACAT